GTAGGTTTATAAGGTCTAATCCTCTGTTATGTCTTTACATACATTTACACAAAAAGATTAAAAATATTTCAAAGTTGTAAATTTTATACCTACTTTAGGGAGTAGGAGCACCAAGTCAGATGTATTTATTTCCATATGTGCAATACCAGCACTTATTTTCAAAAAGCATACTTTTGTTTGAAAGAAGCAAAGCATGAAGTATTAAGTAAATGGGAATTAGATATATTTTTCACCTGTAAAAACATCTCGTATATATAATTTTGGGTTTACCCTGAGATTATTTTTATTTGACCATGTTTTTCCCTCTATTCAAATTTGCTATGGTAGATCAATCATGAATTGATTATGATGGAACTCTGTTTCAAAGTGGTATTCTAAAGACTACCAGTCAGGTTAGGATTCCTCAGTAGTTATGGAGCAAATTCCTTTTAGAGGAGATTTCTCAATAGGAAGTCAACTTCCCATTCTAAAAGCCTTCTGGAGGATCATGTCTTTTTCCAATCACTATAGAAGGACAATGCAAAATATCCTTACTAGAATTACATAAATGTTACCTCTGAAGAGTTGGCAATGTGAAATAAATCTAGTATCCAATCTCCCTGTCTTTATCTTGACCCATGCATTTTTCCATCCTATTTTCTTCCTCTGTCCCATTAAAGAGGGGGAGTGAATGAGCAACTAGATGAGCATTTGGCCCTTTGCTAAGGTTAACCCACCATATTATCCAAATATATGTATGAATCTGGCCCTAAATGTTACATCTGAATTTTTATTCTAGCTTGTTGTGCTGCAATTACTGAGCTGGTTGCTCAATGAGACTAATGCTTACCAAGTTGTACAGGTAGGAAGGGAAGATTTTATTCACTTAAGTAAGCTACTATAGTTTATAATTTCAATTAATTGTTGTTGTTCGCTATCATAATTTAAGAGATTGCAAAATATGCCTTTCTATAACTTTAGTATTTCTGTTTCTTTATAGAGTTACACACAGAGACATAGGCACAAAGGTATCAAAATAAGTGTCTGGTTGTCTGGAAGAATAAACAGCATTATTCAGACAAGGTTCATTTTGGTTGGCATCTCTTGCTGTGTTTTTTTCATATTCGAAACAGAATAGTAAATAAGAGTAGTCATAGAATTAACTGAGAAATGCAAATTCTGAATTACATGAAGTTTATTAAAGCAAACTATGCAGCTTAAAATTGACGTGTTATTTCACATCAATTTATCTTCTCTTAAGGGTGTTGTATTTCTGAGATAGCTTCCTGGCATTCCATCTCCAGGGGTAAACCATTCTTAAAATCCCTGACTGTATTCCAGACCTAGTCAAAGATAAAAGTAATTAGAACATAAATAGCAATGAAAACCTGTAGCCAGCTCTTACACTCTGAATGTTAACTCAATGATCAAAGCCTTCAACTTAGCCTAAAACCCAACTAGAAGTATTCCTCAAGGAACTGAGGATCCTTAAATATGACCAGGAAATAAGTTTGTGTATATTTCAAAACTATTGGTTAGCAGGAAAGGAATGAAAGTAAGCCTAGAAAAAATATTTTCTATGATTCTTAAGCACTAAAATCATCAATAAACAATTTAGACAACTTTTTATCTGAACAATGTAACTACATACATTTTAGGCTGAGTCTGATTTCATCAAAATAGAATATCACTTGCTTAAATTAAATGATTTTAACATAGAGGTTTTCTGTGTTGCTCTCACAATGCATGGTAACTCTAGTCAGTAAATTTCTTAAAAATTGTTGGTACAATGTGCAGCCTGGGAAAAGATGTTTCAAACTTAACTTCTCTTACTCATTCTGTTAAGACACTGACTTCTCCATTTGTCAAAACACCAGCCAGCAATTCCTCTCTCAGATCAGGACATACCTTCAAGCATGTTCATTTCCATTGGAGTTCCACCGTACAACAGCCACTGTAATTTAAAATCCTACTTCTTTCTCAGTTCTAATACAACTTTGAGAGTTGCATGGGGAACAAGATGAAGGAACTCACTTGGGTTAAAAACAGAGGAAGAAGATTTGCAGCTCATTCACTTATGTGCCGAGGAAGTCAATCTAAGTGACCTCTAAAGGTTGATACCATTTAGTCTCAAAGGACTCTTGGTTCAGGCATTTGGGAACCTTTTGCTTCTGCTGTAATTGCCTTGTCTCCTTGCCTCAACTTACAGCCTTGGTAGCAGTCTGCAGTAATTCTGGTAGCAGATAGAATGTGCTTATGATTCAATGGCTCTATTGCACCATCTAAAACCTTAGCTTAAGTCTACCTTCATGAACAGTTGAAGAAAACGTGAAAAAAACTGCAACAGAGCCTCAGCAGAGCTGGTGCATATTTCCTTCAACTTTGCTAGAGAGGAGTTTTCAACAGGGAGCTTATCAAGTAATTGGGAGCAGTACTCTTAACTAAATGAACCAGTACTCATCTATCAGACCAACACAGTGGATACATTAATGGAGGACACATGGTTGTCTGAAAATGGAAGCTGAAATCAGTATGGTTTTCACAAAATCCTGCTGAAGGCACAGACTCCTCAGGCTATCACTTTTGGTGTTTCTCCAATTTGTATTTATTGAGACTGGATTTTTTGTTCCTGACAATTCAGAATATTCACATGGTGACAGGAGATCTGTTGCTGCAGTTTCTTTCACTTCCAGAGATGGAAGCATTGCTTCATTATCCGTTCAAAAGCTCTCTTTGCAGTATCAGTTTAAATGGAACAGTGATTTAATTCTTTTGTAGATTTAAGTAATTTGAACTTATATTTTAGATGTTGAGAACTTGTCTATTGGTATTAGCTTCTGATTTATCTGAAGCAACACTGATTCTTATTGGTGGTTTCTGTGCAAAGGAGCACTATTAATATTGACCTTCCTCTGTTTCTAGGCAAATGGAATATATACAATAGCAAAGCTGATTTTACCCAACAAAGAAAGGAATGCTGAAAAAGCCAGTTTATTACAGGTAACTTTAATTGAAAGCCCCAAACAGTTCCTGAGAATTTTTTGTGAATTGAAGTTTATTTTATAGTGAAAAAAAAAGTCATACTTAAAGGGGAAACCCCCTCAACCAAAACAAACCCAGGAATAACAAATGGCCCACGAACTAAAAGTTAAACTGTGCTTCAATTTCTGGTTTTCTGTTCTGATTTACTTTGTTTCTAAAACCTTATATAGTGTAAAGGAAAGTGAATATTTTTCTTGTGATAGTCTTTCCTCCAGTTTTTCAGGTTGCCCAGCATCAGATATTCTTTGTAGAGCCTTAATTGTCATTGAAACTCACTGTAAATTTGACACTGTACTAATATCTGTTTATTTCTGGAGCATCCTACTGCAGCTGTTACATGACATATAGGAAAACAATCACATGAAGTAGAAAAAATGTAAGTGTAGGATAAATACAGACCCGCTAAGCGTAGAATGGCTCTTGGGTTTGCATGTCATTACCCCCATAAATGTACTGGTTTGAGTCAACTTAGGCTAAAGGTTATCAGTAGTAATTAATTATCTGGTAGCTTTTCTCAGGCTCTGTGAAAATGTGGGTGTCTCTCTAAGCTATAGGAAAGTAGTGGGCTGGGGTTCGGGGACGAACACAGCTGCTGCTGCTCTGGTTGCCCTTCTCTGGGCGAGTCTGAGAAAGTCCTTAGCACAGGTGGATGCAGTCAGGATCCCGTCTCTCACCTGCTCTTTGTTCTGGCATAGCCTTACACTAACATGGTTACATAGCTACTCAACTATCTAATCAGGTAGGCGTGCTTGAATAGTAAGGGAAGGCATTTCCACAAAAAAAGAGTTTCGTTCTAGTGTCATCTTTCTCATTGCAGTTCTTCTAGATTAGGGCTGGGGAGCTGATTCAGTGCAGTAGGTGTCTTTCTACTACAACAGAGTTTTATAGTGCATTTCAGTTAAATCATCTTAAGGATGAGATAAATAAAAGTCTTCCTAAAGGATATATGAAACTAACATTGAGTCTAATGAACTGGAGCATATGCACACTACAGTTGCCTCACAAAATTGTAAGGAGTTTAATTTTGTGCCCACTGAGATTTTTAGATTGCAGCAGAATGTGTTGGAAATAACTCAAAAGAGCTACTAAGCAACTGTAGCTGGGTTAAACATGAAGCCAATGTGAATTAATAATGGACTTCATGATCACATATGAAAGCTAAATCTGTTTTGGGTAAACATTAAGAAGTATATTTTTATGAAACCTTATTCATATTCTCCCACAGCCATCTGTATTGCCTTTGTCATTGTTACTCCTATGAAATACAGTGGCAGCTATTGAAATACCCTTTTTTAATTTCTTAGGTATTTTTCTTAGAATTTTTTGAATGCTGGTCTGGTTTCTTTACTGCCCCATTGTCTATGTTTTCAGTGATTAAATGTCAGCTTCTTTCTGCCATGCTACCTTAGTGATCTTACTCCATGACTATCTTTGTTTGCTCAGCCAAACTAAAGATGAGTTGCATAAAAGCATACATATTAGCTACCTGCCAGTGGCTGTTTTAAAAATAACCTTCCTTTAGAAAAGATCATATTGGAACAAAGATACATAAATATAGAAACTGAGGTACATAAAGATCCCTGTAAATATGATGAATTTACTATTAAAAAGTTGAGTGTTCTCTCTTTCTCACTCTTCTTTTTTCGTCCCCTGCTAAAACTTACAGTGTTCTACACTGTATTTTTCAGAAAAAATGCAAAATGCTTTTTCTACCGCAACATTACAAACCCGCTGATTACATTTACCTTTTTCAGCATTGGAGAGGAGATCAGTCTCAAGTCTTGAGCTATCTGCAAACAGAGATGATTGAGATTTAAATGTTCCTCAGCATGTGCTATTGTCACCAGCTGTTTTTTTTAAACAATTTGTTTCCCCTAAATATTCCAGCATACTTTTAAAATACAGGAGGAGCTTAATATGTTTTTATTCCCTTTGGTATCGGGTAAATAAGATGATCTATCTAGTCATTTAAATACCAAGTATACCAATGTGTAAAGTCGAGGGGAATCCTTGTTGTTTATCAGTGGCTTTTCCATTTGTGTATAAATTTCTTATTAATGTAGTACTTTTCCTGTTGTAGTGTTATGCTTTCAGAGCCCTGAGATTTCTCTTCAGTATGGAAAGATATCGGCATGTTTTCAAAAGGTACGGTAACCAAATGTTTTGTGAAGCTCCTTTAGGATAGTTTTCAAAAGTCCAATCAGAAAGACCTATTTTTTAAATGTAATTTATTATCAACAGGAGGAAATAGTAATGGGCAATTTCTGTTCTGTCCACAGTTGCAAATAGCCAACCCTGCACTGCATAAGTGCGAGTCTACAAGATTTAGATATTCAGTGTGGGGACTTGTGTGCATGCCAGACAACCTGGCTCTGCACAGGCTCCTTCTCCCCCTGTGAATCAACGTTTTAAATATGTTGAGGGCAGATTCAATACTCTTGGAGATAAAACATACTTCTACCCTGAAGATTAGCAGATGCAAGTTGCAGCCCTCAATAGTAGCGATTAACTGGGAGCAGTAAAATTTTTTCTCTGAGCCCTCAATTCCTTCACATGGGAATGACTTTGCATCAAACTGTTTTACTTAGGAGTGTTGTTGAAAGGTTTCGATCAATAAGGACAAAATGTTTTTCATCAATTACCCATTTTTACTACTAAGATGACAGTTTCATCAGGTTGGCTGCAAAGGCCATGTGCAATATAACAGTGTGATTTGTGGTATTAGAATAGTAATCATAATGCTTAGGAGCTCTGCCTGTCAATAGTGTTTCTACTATGTTTTTAGTCTGTATCAGAAGTTACTAAAATTCAAATATAACTTTTGTGTTATATTTTATTTTTTAAAAGCAGATTTTGTACTGAAAGTGCCCTAGTTTGTAGTGAATTGTCATGGTTGCTGACAGGTTTTTGCAGAATCTGGGCCAATTTGCCCTCTTGATTTTTCCAAATGCCTTAATCTCCTGCATTTCTACTTCTGCCAGAACATTAAAAAGAAACAACTTCTGTTCAGCATGTAAACTAATCAGTTATTGCCTACTATCTGTTAGCTTTTGCTTTTCTCATCCTTTTCATCTTTTAGACTAGACTTCTTCAGCAAAAATTCTGATATGGGTGTCATCATTCTCTGAATGCAGAGAATTGTTAATCCTATCACTTAATGCATTACAAGAAGAAACTCAGATACTGTAAGAAAAAAAATAGGAAAATTACTGGAAACTCAGTGGAGGCTGAAGTCTGACTTTTAAAAAGTCCTTTAACTGCTATGTCTGTAATGTTAGAGGGCTAATATCTCAATAGATTAGTAAAAAATAAGTGTATTATTTAGGATGTTCTGAAGTAAGTTGTAATAATAAACACGGACAAGTCTCTGCTGTAGATTAATAGCTACTGTTTCTAAAATATATAAAAATATTATACCTTTGTAGACTTTTCCCAGCTGACTTATTTGAAATCTTCATTGATATTGGACATTATGTGCGTGATATCAGAGCTTACGAAGGGTTGGCATCAAAGCTAAATTTGTTAAAGGTAAGTAAAAACCTTAAACCTTCATAGCTTTAAGAAGTTGTATTCTTGCACATTCTTAGCACAAGAAAGGCATGAAGTATTTTATATTTATTTATTTGTCATTTAATTTATGACTAGGAGGATGTACTGAAGCAAATTGCTGAAAGTATTGAGAGTATGAATCAGAATAAGGTACCCACAAAATATATAGGAAATTATGCAATTTTAGAGCACCTTGGCAGTGGAGCTTTTGGAAGTGTATATAAGGTAAACTTACCTTTTGCTATTATTTTACAGATTTGAGGGGAGTTTTCACAAAGAGGGTCTAATGCCTGTTTTAGGCAGAACTGTCCTTTGAATTTCAGTAGGGGAATGTAGGTGCAAAAAGGCCTTTATGGATCTGGGCTTGTTGTTAGTGTTTACTGTGATTTTGTTTGTTCCATCTTGTATTTGTAAGGTTGACCAGTGTATCTCTTAGGTTTTCTACTTTTACTTTCTTTTAGTTCATTTCCACAAATGGCTTTTCTATCTATTACAAAGGCTAATAAATCTGTGTAAAACCACAGAAATTCAAGCATGTTTTATCTGAAAAGCAACACTGAGCACAGGTAATGTCACTTCAAGCACTGTGCAAGTTCAGTACTGCTAATCTCTATTGTGGGACTCCGTTTCTTCTATTAATCGCATCATACACACATTATAACTTTTGTGAGAAAGCCCTGGACTTTGAAAACTAATCCGATAGCCACAATAACATTCTTTCTATCCCCATCCTATGTTAACTGTACAAAGGTTATATCTTATTTATAGATTAGGAAGCATAATGGACAAAATCTTCTGGCAATGAAAGAAGTCAATTTACGCAATCCAGCATTTGGAAAAGACAAAAAAGACAGAGAGAGTAGTGTAAGAAACATTGTCTCTGAATTAACCATCATCAGAGAGCAGGTATGTCTCACAAACTCTGATTTGATGTGTGGACATTCTCATATGGAAAACTGCCTAGTGGAAAAGGACCTGGGGATGCTGGTTGACAGCTGCCTGAACATGAGTCAACAGTGTGCCCAGGTGGCCAAGAAGGCCAATGGAGTCCTGGCTTGTATTAGAAATAGTGTAGCCAGCAGGACCAGGGAAGTGATTGTTCCTCTGTATGTGGCACTGGTGAGGCTGCACCTTGAATCCTGTGTCCAGTTTTGGGCCTCCCACTACAAGAAAGACATTGAAGTGCTGCAGCGTGATCAGAGAAGGGCAACAGAGCTGGTGAAACATATAGAGAGTAAGTCATGTGAAGAGCAGCTGAGGGAACTGGGGTTGTTTAGCCTGGAGAAAAGGAGGCACAGGGGTGACCTTTTCACTCTCTAAAACTAACTGAAAGGAGGTTGTAGCAAGGTGGGGCATCAGCCCAGGGGACTAGTGATAGGACAGGAGGAAATGGCCTTGAATTGTGCCAGGGGAGATTTAAATTGGATATTAGGAAAAAGTTTTTCACCAAAAGGGTGGTCAGGCGTGGGAACTGTCCAGGGAAGTGGTAGAGTCACCATCCCTGGAGATACTTAAAGGATGTGCAGATGTGGCACTTGGGGACCTGGTTTAGTGATGAACTTGGCAGTGCTGGGCTAACGGTTGGATGCAATGATCTTTAAGGTGTTTTCCAACATAAATGATTCTATATAGCACGACTCCCAGCGGCTTTTGCTTTTTTTTCATTCAATCAGTACTGTATTGGCCTCCTTTACCTGAATTCTGCTGATAATGAAAACCTGCTTACTGTAGTGTTAGCAGCAGTGCAAATGCTTGTTACTAAAGATTCTTACTTTATATGTTGGCAGTATTTGAACTTTTTTCAGAGATTCTGTAAATTAAGATTGTGATAAAAACCTGATGAGTCTTTGTTGCATTCAGTCAAGTCTTGGTTTTAAAATACAGTGAGAAGACAGTCTTTTCTTGTAACTGAAAACTAGAAAAACAAACTAATCATTAGTGCTCCTGAGCTAAGAAAGCCAATACTTTGATACGGGTATAATTACTTGTCTTCAAACTTCATTTACTCTCTTTCAATTATTAAGGGGAGAGAGGAGAGGAGTCATACTGTATTTTCCTTCTGATTGCTCTAGTAATGTGCAACATTTCTCTGTGTTTGGGGTAGCAGTGACGATCTGCTGCACTGCAGTTCATAAACAACTTTGTGGAATCCTTATGATATCCTTCCTTCCAGTGTGTAGCTTAAACATTATAAATACTGTGCCATCAGTTTAACTATTCTAAGCATTTACATTTCTTTCCTCATTGTAGCTTTATCATCCAAATGTTGTACGGTATTATAGAACCTTCTTGGAAAGTAAGTATAAATGCAGAGAATTACCACATTTTACATAATGAAGAAATAGAAATATGTCATAAAGCCACTTACAGCTTGTCGGGAGTCAAATTTGAGCAATAATCTTTCTTCAAGAACTGCTACAGTTCAGACAGGCTTATATTCCTTTAAAATTGGAAAAATGGTGAGAAATTATATTTGTTTATCTATCAGTAAAACTAGATGCAATGTAAACATATGGCAAGCATCATTCTTCTTCTAAAAGGATCCAAAATTTAGAACTGAAATGCTAAATAGGGAGAAAAGCTATAGTGAGTCGTAGGATGAAAGATACAGATTGCCCAGCCACATTCTCTTAATTTTCTGTTATAAAGAGTTATCTACATACACCTGCCCCCTGAGTGATTATCAGACAGTGATTTCCTTATAGTTGCTGTGACATAAATTGAGGAAAAAATGGAATACTAAGGAGTAGAGTCATGATTAAAATGTATCTGTCCGTACAAATTAAATTTTTAAAAAGTAAAAAATAACAGCTTCTAAAATATATTTTTACCTCAAATACTCTATTTTCAAATGCCTTCTGTATAAATATAATGTTCTATTAATTTTCTTTTATGTAGATGACAGATTGTACATAGTCATGGAGCTCATAGAGGGGGTGCCATTGGGAGAACACTTTCACTCTTTGAAGGAAAAACAACAACAGTTTACGGAAGATAGAATATGGCATATATTTATCCAAGTAAGGACCTCCATTCCTTTTACCAGAACTTTCCTGGATATAATTGGTAGCACCATTTTTTTTAGGCTAATAAATGACAAAGTAATACTTATTCTATCAGATGCTAATATCAGCTATGAATTTAATTTTATATGCCTTTATTAAGATTGTAGTTAAAGAATCTTTGTAAGGTCCTTTCTCCTTTCTGTTTGTTTTTAAGCTTTGTCTAGCTCTTCATTATTTGCATAAAGAGAAGAGGATTGTTCATCAAGATCTCACTCTGAACGATGTCATGTTAGGGGATAAAGACAAAGTTACAATTAGTAAGTAGAACTGCTTTTCTCTAAGACAATTTCTCATGATGTACCTGAGAAGCATTTCTTTACTGAAACTCTCAGAAGGTTTCGGTTTCCTGGGCCATTGGTCACCATACTTGGAAGCTAGTAAATTATTGCCTTGTGTATAATATCGAATGGCATGGGTTGAAAGGGTCTTAAAGATCATCTATTTTCAATCCCCCTTGCTGTAGGCAGGGACACCTTCCACTAGATCGGGTTGCTCACAGCTCCATCCAACCTGACCTTAAAAACTTCCAGGGATGGAGCATCCATGACTTCTCTGGGCAACCTGTGCCAATGCCTCAGTGCCTTCACAGTAAAGAAGTTTTTCTAATATGTGATCTAAACCTACTCTCTTTCAGTTTGAAACCATTCCTCCTTGTCCTGTCACTACATCCTCTTGTAAAAAGTTCCTCTCCAGCCCTAATTTTCTGTATAGACTGGGAATGAGAAGCTGGAGAGAAGTGCTGCAGAAAGGGGTCCTGGTCTATGGCAAATTGAATATGAGTCAGCAGTGCCCCGGCAGCCAGGAGGGCCAGCCGTGTCCTGGGGGGCATCAGGCAAAGCATTGCCAGCTGGTTGAGGGAGGGGATTGTCCTGCTCTGCTCTGCACTGGTGCAGCCTCACCTTGAATATTGTGTGCAGTTTTGGGCACCACAATATAAGAAAGATACTAAGCTGTTAGATAGTGTCCAAAGGAGGGCAATAAAGATGGAGAAGAGTCTGGAGGAGAAGCTGTATGAGGAGCAGCTGAGGTCTATTTAGCCTGGAGAAGAGGAGACTGAGGGGAGACCTCATTGCAGTCTACAACTTCCTCATAAAGAGAAGAGGAGGGGCCAGTGCTGGTCTCTGCTCTCATGGCCAGTGACAGGACCCGAGGGAATGGCATGAAGCTGAGATGGGAGAGGTTTAGGTTGGATATCAGGAAAAGGTTTTTCACCCAAAGGGTGTTATAGACTGCCCAGGGAAGTGGTCACAGCACCAAGCCTGTCTGAGTTCAGGAAGCATTTGGACAAGACTCTCGGGAACATGATGCGATTGTTGGGGTGTCTGTGCAGAGCTGCAAGTTGGACTCTATGATCCTGATGAGTCCCTTCCAACCTAGCATATTCTGTGATTCTATGATTCTTCTAGGCTTCCTTCAGGTACTGGAAGGCCACAATTAGGTCCCCTGAAACTCTCTCTTTTCCAAGATGAAAAAACCCAATTCTCTCAGCCTTTCCTTTTAGGAGAGCTGCTCCACGCTTCTAATCGTCTTGGTGGCCCTCGTCTGGACTCACTCCAGCAGGTCAATATCCTTCCTGTGCTGGGGACCTCATAGGTGTCTGCAGTACTGCAGGTGGTGTCTCACCAGAGCAGAGTAGAGGGGCAGAATCACTTCCCTCGATCTGCTGGGTGCAGCCCAGGGTAGGGTTGGCTTTCACATTGCCAGCTCATGTCTAGCCTTTCATCCACCAGCACCTCCAAGTCCTTCTTGGCAGGGCTGCTCTTGATCTGTTCATCCCACAGCCTGTATTGATGTGGGGCTTGCCCCAACCCAGGTGTGCACTTGGTCTTGTTAAACTGTATGAGATTCCCATGTGCCCACTTCTCAAGCTTGTCCAGGTCCCTTTGGATGGCATCCCATTGTTCAGGTGTGTCAGCCGCAACACTCAGCTTGGTGTCATCTGCAAATTTGGTAAGGGTGCACTCAGTCCCTTCGTCTTTGTTATTAATGAAGATATTACCTAAGACTGATACCAGTATGGGCACCTGAGGGACACCACTTGTCACTGATGTCCACTGGGGACTCTGAGCCATTGACCACTACCATCTGGATGCAATCATCCAACTACTTTTTTATCCATCTATCAGTCTGCTCATCAAATTTATCTCTCTTCAATTTAGAGAGAAGGATGTTGTGGGGGATTGTGTCAAAGGCTTTACAGAAGTCCAGATAAATGACACGTGTAGCTCTTTCCTTGTCCACTGATAGAGTCACTCCATCATAGAAGGCCACTAGGTTGTTTGGGCAGGACTTGCCCTTGGTGAAGCCTGAATTGCGTCCCTGTCCTCCACCTGCCTGAGCATAGCTTCTAGGAGGATCTGTTCCATGATCTTCCCAGGCACAGAAGTAAAATAATTGCTAATACAAATTTTGTGTTCATTGCCACCAGGTGTCATCAGCCATGACTATATTTTTTTGCAGCTGTATATGTCAAATATGATGGAGGAGATGATTCAGCCCGAAAAAAATTAAACTGTAGCTATGCTTCAGTGCCTGTTTTTATTTATATCAGCTAGAATATTGAAATAACCAGATTACATAGCAAGCGCTAATGAACATACAAAGTAAAACAGCTGTCAACTTTATTCTATTCCAATTCTACCATGAAGTTGCTTAGTATCCTTCAGTTGTTCCCAGTGATCAGCTGCAGTGAGGTGCTATTTGTCTAAGCCTGACTAGTGAATATTCTTGATGTATGCTTCTGTAATCACCACAGTGTGGAGGCGGGAGCCGAGGCAGGTTCTAGGATAGGCTTTGAAAGCAGTATGTGTGTGAACAGTACAAAGCATGGCATAGCTTTGGTCTTTGAGTGAATCAATACAACCTGGTACACACAGCAAGTCTTACAGGCAATTCAGATCCTGTAGTTTTTAAAGTTCTCAGAGAACTACTGCATGCTTTCTTGCTGCTCATGACACAGAAGAAAATAAACTATTTGAATGCCGCAGAATTGTTGTGAGAAGTCTTTATGCAAAATTCAATCTCTCTTCTTTAAATCTAACAGGAAGGTGTAGGTGTATGCACACACTCATGCACAAAACAATCAGCTATAAATATTCAGCAACTGTTGTTTCACAGTAAATATTTTTACCTGACGATGTATGTACTTAAATTCATTCATTATTAAATTGTATGTGCCAAAAGCCCTCTGATTCATAGTAATGATATAGTTTTGAAACAAGGTGATTTAATAGAGCTTTGAGTGATGAAAATAAATATTCAGAATATTAAAGTATCATATAAGTGTATTTTATATCATCATACTACCACTGAGGGGCACTCTTGTCTTGATTTAACAACTTTTCCTTATCTCTGGTCCAATCTAAATATAAAGAAGTGTAAGCGTACTTTCAAATGTAAGCTCAAAATTGACAGAAATATAAATGCTTTTTAATGGCAAAGATTTACAGGAGTTGAGGAAATTGGAAGAACTGAAACTTATTTGAACCATTTCTACAGTGATTGGTTCAAAATTATTGCAATATTTAAACAAACACTTTATTTGGTCCTACAACTAGTACCAGTGTAGTAACCATCGAATTTTTGGAGGGAGCTGAAGACCTTTTATCTATTGCTTCTGAATTTTAGTGAGCCCTGTTTTATGACCATAATGAAATTAAGAATAATTTACTTTCTTTCTGACGACAGTAAATCTCTATCGGTGCCTGCTGTGGTATTGTGCCTTAACTCATACCATTTATGAGTATGCCAAAGACTGGAGCATTTTGTGATCTTGATAATTATATCTTACAGTTTTTGAGGGTAAATGTACTATCCATTTGAGAATTTCAAGTGGTTCTTGATGAAAGTTTGTTCAGGCCTCAGATGTGAAAGAGTTAATTTTCCTTCTAGTAGCTGGTACTGTGCTGTGTTTTGAACTTAGTATGACAATAATGTTATAACACACTGATGTTTTAGTTGTTGCTAGGTAGTGTTTACTCTAAATCAAGGACTTTTCAGTTTTCCATCCTCTGCCAGTGAGGAGGTGCATGGCAAGCTGGGTGGGGGAACACAACCAGAACAGCTGACCTGAACTAGCCAAAGGGATATTCCATACGATCGAACTGGGGGGAGTTGGCTGGGAGCTGCTGATCGCTGCTTTGGGACTGGCTGGGCATCACTCAGCAGGTGGTGAGCAACTGTAGTGCACATCACTTGTTTTTCCTGAGTTTTATTTCATTCTCTCTCTCTCTCTCTCTCTCTCTCTGTGTCTCATCATCATCATCATCATCATGGTAATAATTATTATTATTATATTTTATTTTGTTTCTATAATTGAACTGTTCTCATATAAACTGACCAGTTTTATGTTTTTTTTTTCCTAATTCTCCTCCCCAGTGGGGGAGGTGGGGAATTGAGTGTCTGGTACTGAGTTGCTGGCTGTGGTTAAACCATGACAAAGTTAATACAAAATGTCAGATGAATATGAAGCATATGCTAAAATATTAAGAAATCTCTGCATTGAATTTATCCTGTCAGCTTTTATAAAAAGAGAAGGTCTGCTCCAAGATCTACTGAAAACTGTAGTTCTCTGTTTACAAGCTGCACAGTCATCCTAAATAGAGTTAGTTCAATTTTCTGGAGTCTTTCAAATCTGAAAACTGACCCAAATGTTGCCTTGATCTAACTAGAGTAATGTTTCTGTGGACTACCTGTGGAGCAGTGTTGTGTGACTATGTAATCAAGTTATGGCCCAAATTATTTTGTTCCATAAAAGAAGTTTGTATATCTTATAATGCTGCTATTTTTTCTTTTCCTCAGTCGGTTCTTCTGGAAATAGTAACTCTTGTTAATCTCTTGCTATGAGACTCTGCAGGCTGATGATATAACAAAGGCAGCTCATTCCTCTGTAACTAATGTTCTTCAAAAATATTGTCTTTAGAGAGGCACCTTAGCTTCAGAATCTCATGGTATATTTTTATTAAAAAAAATGAATGAAGTGAGCAAAGTGCTTCTATAGATTAAGACTTTAATTTTGCAGCAGTCCCAGCAATGAATTGCTTTAAGAAAGTTCTTCAACCCACAAATAGGCATTTCGTACCATGTATGTGACAACGGAACCTCTCACATTCCAAACCCCTTGAAGATCTCTTATGCAGTTTCTGCATTTACGCTGGTTGAAAAGGAAAGGAGTGCATAGTGTGGGAGACACTCCCACCTTGCTGTCAGAGCAGAAAACAATAAACCTGCTAAAGAATTATGCTTGTTAGTCCTGAAT